TTCCTTCCTTCCTTCCTTCCTTCCTTCCTTCCTTCCTTCCTTCCTTCTTTCTCTCTCTCTCTCTCTCTCTTCCAACAATGCTGAGCCGCAACTGGTGAATTTATACAAAATTAATGAATCGAGCCCTACATTTGAATAAGGCTTGAGTACAGGTAGTCCTTGACTTACAACTATTCAATCAGCGACTCTTCGAACCTACAAAGCCCCTGAAAAAGTGACCTCGCCTGGACGGCCATCATAGCATTCCCCACCATCGTGTGGTTGCAATTTGGGGCCCTTGGCAACCTGCCAGCCTCGTGGCGAGATGCTTGGTTGGCAAAAGTCATTTTTAACAAATCAAAATAAGATCAAACTATTTACGGCTGTTGCCCCATCCCGGGAGTCACGTGATCACCCTTTAAGGCCTTTGCAACGAACATCCGACAAGCCAGGTTAAGGGGGGAAAGTGGGTTTGTTTAATGATAGCATGATTCACTTAGCAACTGAAGCAACTCACTTAACAACTGGACAGGTCGTAGAATCATGCATGATTCACCTCACAGCCACCGTGGTTTAGCCCTGGAAATTCGGCTCCCAATTCCAGTGGTAAGTCAAGGAGTATCTGTATCTTCATTTCACAGGGTGGATTCCAGATTGTGAGAATAGGTAAGTTCGTGAAAAAGGATATTTTTTTTATCCTTGCAGATAAAAAGCCCCAACAATGAAAAAAACCAAAACAAAACCCAGCACACTCTCCGATTCTGTATCTGCTCCCATTTTAAAACTTGGCCAAACTATGATCTGTTTGGCTTCTCTCTCTCGAGCGATCTCAAAAATTCTTTGGCCTGCTCTGATTTAGTCTAGCCAGAAGGGCACGATTTGCGTAGGAAGAAAAGAGGGAAGAAACAGATGTTAAGGAGGGGGAGAAGAGAAATCGGAATATAAACAGAACAAAGACAGAATTTCAGATCGTGACGGAATAAGAGAAGCTCGCTGAAACTCCCGCTGAGGAGAAATGGAAAGGGATTATTTTGCAGCTTTGAGCGATAATTGTGTGTTCCTTTTCTCCCTCCTGCAACCTGTTTTTCTTTGAGAAACCCTGCTAGCCGTCACCACAACAGAGAGAGACGGAGAAAGATTGTGAGACAGAAAGACTGGGAGGGAGAGAGAGAAGAGAGAGGAAGTAGAAGAGGGAAAGAGAGAGAAAAAAGAGTGAGAAAGAAGGATTAGGAGAGAGAGAAAAACACAGAGAGGGAAAGAGAGAGAAAAAAGACCGAGAAGGAGAAAAACAGTAACGGAAAAATCAAATTGACGACCGCTGGATTAAAAACCTTTAAGGGGGCAACTGGGGACCCGCTTTGTAAGGGGCTTTATTCTCTTCCTCCCAGGCCCCACCCTATTGCTGACCAGCGACAACATCAAGCAACAGCTCGGCTCCGCAGCGCTGGACAGGTAAGGGCTGCCACCGCCCCCTGAACCATGCCAGCCAGCCGTACCAACGTTTGTCCTCAGCTGTCAACAGTTCACTTAGCGACCGAAGTCACGGCGGCACCGGAAAAAAGAGAGCCAGGACCGTTTTTCACACTGAAGGACCGTTGCAACCTCCCTGCGGTCCCGTAAATTTACGTTCGGACACCAACTCACATTTATGACAGTTGCAAGTCATAAAGAGCTTTGTTGGCAGCAGTGGCTCTTCCGTTTCAAGGACCGGCCCATAGATTTCCACTGCTCTCCTCTCCTCTGCCTTCTGTGCATCCACGCAGGCACTGGACCCGGCTGTTCCTCTTCTTCCTCATCGGCCACCTCCAGCCGTGGGGGCTGTTGACTCTCCGTTTGAGGGTTGACAGATGGCCCAGGCTCCACCTCTGTCTGTCTCTCTGCCAGCTCCACTCCCTCTTCCCGCTCTGAAATCTCAGGTTGTCCTCATGGTGACTCTGACTCCCACATCTCCTCCTCCTCCTCCTCCTCTTCCTCCTCCTCCGGCCTCACCAGGTAGAAGCTTGGCAGACACGGAAGGGAGAGCTGAGTGGCCATCCTTAAACTCTAACCCCACGCCAGTCCCTTAAATTGCCGAAGCCGAGGACGCTAGGAAGATTCTTCTGGGCTTCTCACCTGCCCAGCAGGTTGTAACCGGTACAGCGTGGCCAGCTTCAAAGAAATTCACAGCCTTCTCCCTCCCTCCTCTGCCCTTCTCCTCCCTTAGCATCCACGAGTATCGGTTGTCCAGCTGGCTGGGCCAGCAGGAAGATGTCCATCGCATTGTGCTCTATCAGTCAGACAGCAGCCTGACGCCCTGGACTCAGCGTTGTATCCGGCAGGCCGACTGCATCCTGATCGTGGGCCTGGGGGAGCAGGAGCCAACTGTTGGAGAGGTGAGAAGTGCCGGAACGAGTTCCCCCACCCCCTGAAAAAAAGGATGATGTCAACTCCTAAAATATTTCTATGGCCGTTTTAGAGTTGCCAACAGAAAGGGAAGCGGGGAAAGGGGTTTGAAAGAGCAGCGCGGCTGCTTGGAAATCCAAAGCGCATCCCATAAATAGTTTCTGAAAGATAGTAACTATGCGACTGAAGTTTCTGTCATGCCAAATTCTAACTGGAGAACATGATTGATGACTCTTGGCTATGGACGTGTCCCATTGGAGAATATGAATTACGAGACACCCAGGGGGTGGGGGGGAGGGAAACCAGGGTCAAGGGTGACAATGAATAATGTGTCTCAGAGTCGGCTACACCCAGGAAGTGCCAGACCGTTTAATTCCCAATAAATCCTGTTGAAGTTTGGCTCGAGAATCATGATTTAATTAGGGCGATTGCTGGAATCCCGACACGAACATTTTAAGGTCCATGACCTCTTTGCCCTTTGGGAAAAGAGCCCCTCTCTCTCCCGACCCCACCCCAAGTTCACCCATAATGATTAATTGACACACACACACACACACACACCCCACCCCAAAATAATCTTTCTCTACCAGTTGGAACGGATGCTGGAGAACACGGCGGTCCGAGCTCAGAAGCAACTGATCTTGTTGCACCGCGAAGACGGGCCTCTTCCTTGCAGGACTGTGGAGTGGCTCAACATGCGGAGCTGGTGCTCGGCCCACCTTCACCTCCGATGCCCCCGCCGAGTCTTCTCCCGGAGGAGCCTGCCCAAGCTGGTAAAGAGGCTTCTTCCCGTGATGGGTCTGGCGGTTGGGAGCCAAGCCTGAAAGCCTGGTTTGTACTGATCCCTGGCTTCTCGCCCGCAGAAAGAAATGTATGAACGCGTCTTCCAGAAACCAGCCGACAGGCACTCCGACTTTTCCCGGCTAGCCCGCGTCTTGACTGGGAATGCCGTGGCTTTGGTCCTTGGAGGAGGGGGCGCACGGTAAGAGTGTCTGGGTGCTTTGAAAGGCCTTCTCCTTCTCTGTTATCTTCTTCTCCTGCTCCTTGACTGTCTTCTCTTTCTTGCTCTTCTTATCTATCATCTCCTACTCTTTCTCCTCTCCTTCTTCGCCTCTTTCCCCTTCTTCCCCTTCTCCATCTTCTCCTCCTTGACTATCTTGTCCTTCTCTTTCTTTTCTTCCTTTATCTTCTCCCTCTCTTGATCTCCTTCTCTTTCTCCTTCTCTTTATCTTTGTCTACCTTCTTCTCCTTCTCTTTCACCCTTTCCTTCTCCTCTTTCTCTTTCCCCTTGTCTTCCTTCCTTATCTTTCTTCCTATCTATCTATCTATCTATCATCCATCTACTTTATCATCTATCAACTAAATTTTATAATCTATAAATCTACTATCTATTTACTTTATCATATATTTATGTTATCTATCTATCTAGTGTCTATATCATCTATTGACTATATTTTATATCTATAAATCTATCTTCTATCTATCTATCTATCTATCTATCTATCTATCTATCTATCTATCCTATCCCCCCCCTCCTCTTCTCCCCATTTTTTCAAATGGTTGCACCTCCCACTTTTCATCTAAGTCCCCCCCACCCCCCCAACTACAAACATGGATTTGGAAAGCAGAGAGTGGTTGTTAGGAAAATCTTCCTGAGAGGTCAAAAAGGTTGACTCCAGAAGGAAAGTCCTGTCTTCTTTAGGGGAGAGCCAGGTCTGCTTTCACTGAATTCCTGAACCAAGCAGGGTGTGCGTGCGTGTGTGTGTGTGTGTGTGTGTGTGTGTGTGTGTGTGTGTGTTACATTAGGGGGCCTTATGGCTATCCCTGTGCAACCCACTTAAAAACAGTTGGCATACCCCCCCTCTGTGCACCACTCGCGATGCCTTTGCGTTTTGTCCATGGGGTTAGAATTCAGCCCGTTGCACAAACCTAAGCTGGCATTTCTTGCACCAGACCTCCGAGAACAGATTCTTTCAAAGCAGCTTTATTTTTTATTTTCACCCTTCAGCCAAGATCCCACCAAGGTGGACTTCAGGATCCGTGTATTTTCCTTTCCCTACCTGCCCGCTTTCTCCGGTTTCCCCAGTTCAGTATAACCCCGCAGCCCCGAAAGGCAACTTCCCGTCCCTTCCTGCCTCTCGCATCCTCAAGTGAAACTATTCAGGTTGGAGATCATTTAAGAGTTTGGGGCTTTGCAACCAGCTCTTGGAAATGTCACCCTCCTTTTGTCTCGTTCGCTCGCCCCTCCCGTGTCAGGGCGGGGCGGGGCGGGTTTGATGCCTGCTGCGTACCACCAAATGAACCTTGGAATTTTCTTGTCTCCTGTACTTTCACGGGGGTAATTAGTTCCTGGCTGCAAATTCCCTCGTTTTGATTGTTCTCGTATTTTGGGAGAACTGCCATAAGTAAAATCGCCCACACGTTGTTCCAGCGTTGAGAGCGGTTTTGTGCCTCTCTTCCTTTTGTTAACCTTCGCTTGATCCCAGTGGAGGAGCAGGCATTGGTGGGGAGAAGGGGGGGGGGCGAGAGAGGGGGGTGAACACCCCCCCACACACAGACCTAGCTGAAGGTCTTAAGAAACACAAATCCCATCAGAGGTTAAGTTAGGTTTTTGTTCTGCAAAGCCCTTCCTTCGGTTGCTTGCCTGCTTCCAAGCAACGTGCATAGCCCTTGGACTTATATACCGCTTCACAGCCCTCTCTAAGCGTTTGGCAGAGTCAGCCTCTTGCCCCCCCACAACAATCTGGGTCCTCATTTTACCCACCTTTTAAGGGCGGAAGGCTGAGTTAACCGTGATCCAGTCAGGATCGAACCCCTGGCAGTCAGCGGAATCAGCCTTGCAGTGCCGCCTCCTGACCCCTGCGAAGTCACGACGGTCATTAAGTCAAGGACCTGACCTTGCAACCCGTTTGGATGGCAGCTGCCAATCGCGCCATCCATGAGTCTGAATGCATCCTGCCCAGCGGGTGACTTTGCCAGAAATTGCCGAGACCACCAAAAACATCTTGGCCAACCGTGTTCGGAGGAGCAGGGGAACCTGTGGCAAATTAAGCCTGGCTGCCAAGCGCCTGAAATGGATCTGAATTCCCGGTTCCGAATAAAGTCATTTTTCTCCACCACCATCCCTCTTGATTTGGCTGGAGCGATAGATAATCCCATTTTTCTGCTGACCGTGTCCTTCCGGTCACGCCCGAATCTCAAGAGAAGCCGGATTTTAGCAAAGGCACCTCCTCCAGTTCTAAGGCAATTAAATCTGGGCTTAACTGCTTTGCAGCTTCCAAAAAAAAACCAAAAAACCCCCCTGCCTTTCTTTGTTTCATTCCTACGAAGCAAAGAGAGAAAATTCTTCCTGCATTTTGGGAATTCTGATGCGATTTTAACCCTCCTTTGTGCTTCCCAGGCAGGAGAGTTTGCTAGGTAGCTCAGGTTGTGAAGTGTCTTTCCTCATCTGTTCACCCAGGCGCAGACTTTCGATTTCCTGGTACACAAATGATCTTTTTTGGTTTTGTTTCGTTCGCTTTTGACAATATGAGAGCCAGGAGGATAGCAAAAGCCTTCCTTCCTCTCTCTCTCTCTCTCCCTCATTCCTCTTACTTCTCCCTCCCTCTCTCCCTCCCTCCTTCTCTCTTTCTCATCTTTTTTCCTCTCCTTCCTTCCTTCCTTCCTTCCTTCCTTCCTTCCTTCCTTCCTTCCTTCTGTCCGTCTTCAGATTGTTTCTCTTCCATGTTTTTCTCTCTTGATCCTTCCTTTTTCTATCTCCTTCCACTCCCTCCTTCCTTCCCTTTCTCATCTTTTTTCCTTCTCTCTTTTCCTTCCTTCCTTCCTTCCTTCCTTCCTTCCTTCCTTCCTTCCTTC